TCAAAAATCATCCATTCATCCTTGTGCAAATGTAAACTACAATTGAATAAAATCCTGTTCTTTAGTCCCCTCCCCTACCCCTTGGAGTGTTAGCCTATAGATGGGTGGCAGAGAGTGAGCCTCGGAAGACAGCAGATCTGGATTAGTTCCGATTCTGGCTTTCTCCAGCTCTGCCCTTCGATTCCCTCGTCTCTGAGAGAGGGATCTTACAGCTATCTCGTTGGCTGACGCTTACATCTCTGATTTGAATTGAGCAAATGGTCCCCCTGGCTTTAACCATGACCTCTGTGAGCCTCATTATGCTAGTGGCAGGAAGTCCGTTTTCTCCGGTGCTAGCTGGCTGATGTGTGCATCTGTGAGGACTCATACAAGTAAGGGCCCGTGAGTGTGAGGGCCCCTAAATGAAAGACTCCAGACTCTGCTGTGCTGGGATTCCACCGAGGACAGGGAGCTGTTTGTTAGGGCACCTGTCCACAGTCTAACCTGCCTTCCAAGTGGCTCCCTAACATCAACAACTACTAATGTCACTGAGTCAGTTTGCTTAATTTAACAGTATTTGTTTCAAGGATCTGACCTCTGCATGTCCATTCACTCAGACTGCCTTTATAGTAGCATAGGTTGCTGTTGTTATGTGTCATGGAGCTGACTGCAACTCACGGAAACCCTATGAACAATGGCTCTGAACCCTTCCCTATCCTGAGCCAACCTCACCTACATACTTAACTTCATTGCAACAGTCACCGTGTCAATCCATCTCATCAAGGGTCTTCCCCTATTGCGCTGACTCTCTGTCTCTCCAAGTATGTTGTCCTTTTCCAAGAACTGGCCTCCCCTGATAATATGCCCTAAGTATGTGAGACAGTTTCACCGTTCTTGCCTCCAAGGAGTGTCTTAGTTTCATTTTCTCCAGGAGAGACCTCTTTGTTCTAAGTCTTCATTGAGCTTTCAGATGTATAGCAAGCAAACGAAAAGATCATGGCACACCTTACTCCTCAGTCTGACATTTAATTTTACTCCACCTCGCTTTCCTTTTGGAAAGGAAACCCCAGATAGATGCTTAGTCTCACTGAGTTGGTTTAGTGAAAGGTAGAGGTTCAGAGAAAGACAGGAAGACCGCCCCCCCCACCAGCAAGAAGGATTTAACACCGTGACTGAAGCAAAGGGCTCAAGTGTATCAGACACGGTGAGGAAGGCACAAGATATAGCAGGATTCAGATCTGTTATTTAAAGGGTTGCTGTGAGTTGTACTTGACTCGATGGCTTCTAACAACAGAAAGTACATGGTGAGAGAGGTCTGGTAGCACAGTCTAGAAGGTTCTATTGCCCAACCAAAAGACTCCCTCTCCAGCCACTGGATCCAGCTACTTCTCAGAAGAAAGCTGAGCAACATCACCCCATTACAATTTATAGCCTCAGAAACTCTCTTGTTGGTATTGAGGGAGTTCATACATAGTAACTACAGGGGATGGAAGACTCATACAAGTCCTAGAAAATGAAACTCAAGTTGTTTTAACAAGATTTTTTTCTCTCTCTCTTTTAAACCTCAATATGTATCTCAGCACTTCAGTGATCAAACACTTGGTTAATAGTAAAATACTTGGATCATAGCGTTAACATTGGATTACACACACACTTGACCACATACCTCTATCTGATCAATCAATTGGCCAGCAAGAAACTAGGAACAATGGCCAGCTCTGTGAGCGTGCTCAGAATACCACAGGATTGCACCAGATGTGAAAGAATGGTCTCATTCTCTCAGTTATTGTAGTACAGATTTCTTTAAACGTTAGCAAAAAGAAAGAAAAAAAGCCTTGACAAAATATTATCAGAGGAAACAAACAAAAACATCAACAACAACAGCAAATATTATCAGAAGGAATGAAAATAAAGTCCTGAATATGTAGCACTGAGATTTCAGCTGCCAGTAGGATGGTTGTGCAGACAGAATCAAAGAGACCTCAGAGTGGATGGGGGCCCAGCTCGGCAGCCTGTCAGACTCTGTGTAGCCTGCAAAGGTATTACATACAGCCACCTGGGTTGTCAACAGCTAGTAAGTTTGAAAGTCACAATCATTCATACAAAAATTGAAATGTTTCATTTTCTAAACAAATGAAATATCAGAAGATTCTCAGAGATCTTGTTCTCATAAAACAATAATCTGTTGAAGGTGAGAGGCAGCTGACTGGGACACACAGAGCACTCCTCATGGTCAACACACCAGTGAAATGTGTATGAAAGGAAAGCTGGTTTGGTGGGTTTTGGGGTTTTTGGGTTTTTTTTTTTTACTATTTGTTATGTCTTATCTCCATACCTTTCAACATCTATGCAGAACAGATTATCTGGGGGCGGGCTGTTTAAGGAGAAGTGTGGCATCAGGATTGGTGGAAGATTCATCAACAATCTGTGTTATGTAGATGACATAAGCCTGCTTGCTAAAACTGAGGAAGACCTGAAGCACTTGCTGCAGAAGGTCAAGGACGGCAGACTTCAATATGGATTGAGGCTCAATGTCAAGAAGACAAAGATTCTCACCACTGGACCAACTGGCAGCATCAGGATGGATGGTGAAGAGATTGAGATTGTCAACAGCTTTACTTTGCTTGGCTCCACAGACAATACTCTTGGTAACAGCAGCCAGGAAATTAAAAGACGTATTGTGATGGGGAAGTCTACTGTTAGAGACCTCTCCAAAGTACTAAAGAGCAATGGTATCACTCTGGAGACTAATGTGTGTCTGATACAGGCCATGGTCTTTGCAATCACTTGGTATGTGTCGGAGAGTTGGACATTGACTAGGGATGATAGGAAAATTAATGCCTTTGACATGTGGTGCTGGAGAAGAGTATTGAATTTACCATGAACTGCTAAGAAAACAAACAGGCCCATCCTGGAGAGGGCTATACCAGGCTGCTCCTTGGACGCAAAGATTCTGAAGCTTCATCTGATATACTTCAAACATGTTGTGAGGAGGGACTAGTCCTTGGAGAAGGATGTCATGCTTGGGAGGGTGGAGGGACAGCCCAGGACAGGAAGATGCTGATCTCACCTTGCAACATGTCCAAAGCATGTCAGACAAAGCTTCAGAATCTTTGCCAAGGAGCAGACTGGCTTCACCCTCTCCAGGACGAATTTGTTTGTTTTCCTAGCAGTCCATGGTACATTCAATACTCCTCCAGCACCACAGCTCCAAGGCATCAATTCTCCTTCTATTATCCCTAGTCATTGTCCAGATTTCTGATACATAGCAAGTGATTGCAAAGACCATTGCCTGTATCAGGCACACCTTAGTCTGCAGACTGACATAGTTTTTCTTCAGTACTTTGGGGAGGTCTCTAACAGCAGATTTTGCCAATGCAATTCGTCTTTTAATTTTCTGGCGCTGGTACCAAGAGTGTTGATTGTAGAGCCAAGCAAACTGAAGCTGTCAACAATCTCAATCTTCACCATTTATCACGATACTGCCAATCATCCCAGTGGTGAGAATCTTTGTTTTCTTGATGTTGAGCTTCAATCCATAGTGAAGCCTGCAGTCCTTGACTTTTTGCAGCAAGAGCTTCAGGTCCTCCTCAGTTTCAGAAAGCAGGGTTGTGTCATCTACATAACCCAGATTGTTGATGAGTCTACCTCCAATCTTGATGCCACACTTCTCCTCATAGAGGCCTGCCTCCCAGATAATCCATTCCACATACAGATTGAAAAGATAAGGAGATAGATAGGACACATCTTTGATGCACATTGTTCCAAA